AATGAAGTAATATTGCCCATTAGGTTACATCTAGAGCTACTAGTGTTGCCAAATTATTTCTTTAAGAAGTACCATCAACATTATCCTAACTATTGACTGATAGTGACATTGGTTCAATGGCGGTTGTTTGTGCTACGACAACTAGTTCTACTGTGGTTCGTTCTTGACTGCATTTTTGTCGTGCTGGTTGTGATAGCTTTTTTTGTTTAGAAAGTTGCATACTTGGTTCTGCAATTGGTACTGTATTAGCATTATCGCTATCTGGTAAATTTATTTCTCTAGCACTTTAAAAAATTTTCACATGAATCAAGTTCAAGGTCATCTTATCCATCAGATTCATATTCTGAAATGTTTTGCAGTGATCATGTGATCGGTGATCACATGATCAGTGATCGGAGAAATTTATAAGATTCTAAACCTTTTCTAACTGTCAATCAATTATTAGTTAGTCTGAAAAAAAAAAATTCTCTATTCAAATGAAATGTATGAAAAGTAAAGGTTATCATAGGGTAAGGTGCAATTATGATATAGTCTGAGCAAATGATGATCTGAAAGATATCTCTATTTGACAATAAAGTTATTGTTTATTTACAAAATTTAAACAGTTTTTATAGCTATATAGCCCACCAGGTTGTTCAATAAGTTTTGTTGTCGTTTTATTTTTCCAAAATTCGTTTTGTTTGTTCTAAAATTGTTATTACGTTTTTAACACGTGTGAAGTTTCACGTAGATCTGTTAACTTATTTGTATATTTACAAGTGTTTAAAGTTGACGTATCACAGCATTTTTTTACAATGAAAAAAATTTGAATGTAGTGCAGTAATAAAATTCTTATTCTTAGAAGATGTGGAACCAAAACAAGTTCATGAATGATTGTTAAAAGCGTATAAGGACTCTTCACCCTCAGTTAAAACAATAGGTTGCTGAATTTAAACGTGGTTGTACAAGTATTGAAGATAATCTACGCGAAGGACGCCTAAAAAGTGCATCAACACCAGAAATCGTAGCAAAAATACAGAATATGATTTTGGAAGATTGTCAAGTAACCAAGAGGGATTTAGTAGAAGCTCTAAACATCTCATTAAGTAGTGTGAACAATATTTTGGTTGAAGTTTTGGATTTTAAAAAGCTGTGTGCACAACTGCATTCGCGGCACCCATTGTGTACACACCTTTTCAATTGTTGGATGAACAATAACATACTCTAATGCGACTTTCTCACCAACATTTGGAGCGTTTTAGAAAGAATAAAAAGGATTTTGTGCATAGTTTCATCACTATGGATGAGACTTGGGTCTGTCATCATGATCCTGATTTGAAGTAAGAGAATAAGGAGTGGTGTAAGCCGAATATTTCGGCTCTAAAAAGAGTTAAGGTTTAGAAATCGGCCACGAAGATGTAAGCATCAGTTTTTTGGGATGCAAAAAAAAATTTTGTTCGTGAGTTACCTTCAAACTGGTTAAACAATAAATTCAGATTACTATTGTTGCATTTTGGACCAGCTGAATGTAAAAATTTACGGGAAAAAAAAAATCATTTTTCATCAAGACAACGCTCAGTCTCACACAGCTCAAAAAACTATCGCGAAAATAAGTGAACTAAAGTAAAAATTGTTGTAAAAGCTAGCCTATACGCTATATTTTGCTCTGTCTTACTTCTGGCTATTCTCACATCTAAAAAAACTTATGCGTGGAAAACGGTTTTTATTGAACGAAGTAGTAGCAGCCGTGGAAGCCTTTTTTGACAGTCTTCTGAATTCTTCAAGAATGGAGTCCATAAATTAGAAGTTCATGGAACAAGTGTATTAAAGTTCAGGGAGATTATATTGAATAACAAACTGTATTTCAAACAATAAAATTGTGCGGATATACTCTAAAATAAGTACTCGTCTTTTTGAAATTTTGAAGATACATTAATTAAAAACTTGTTTTTAAGGTTTTAACACCATAAATTAATCACAAAAAAAAATAAATAAGAGAATGAAACGGCTGCTTTTTTTTTGAAATATTTTTGTTTCAGTTTTTTACCGTACTTGGTTACTTGAAAAATAAATAAAAGCATAAAACTACTTAATGCAACCGAGGTATAGAACAAACAAACTCGTATAAAAAAAGCCGATAGTTTTAAACAAATCCGATTGGTTATTAGTGGCAAACCGAACAACTTTTTATTTTGGGTTGTCCATAAAGTACGTACGCTCGGAGATGAAGAGGGGGTGTACAAATGGCGTTTCTTAGATAAGGAGGCAGTAGGTCAATTATAAAAGTATGGAGACACTAAATTAAAAAAAATACCATAAAATATTGGGTTGGAAGGTTAAACGCGTAGATACTTTTAGGGAGGTAGAGAGTAATCAAAAAAGCGTTTGGCAACTTGCGGGGGAGGAAGGGGGGAGTAGCGAAATAAAAGCGTACGTGCTTTATGGACGACCCCTTATTAGTATTAAATTTATGTAAACAAAGAATTCGTAAATAATGACAAAATATTATAAACAACCAAAACAGCGTCTGTTATAACACTTTTGCAGGAGATATAATTATAAAGGTATCAATATAATTATAAAGATATCTTGAAGTGTCTGTTTGACATAATTTATGAACCTAATTACAACTTAATACATTTGTTTTGGTGTATTTTAAAATAATATGCTACTTTTAAAAGTAGTTGGAATGAATTATGTGATATATAAGTATAAACTTTAACTGACATTTGCTTTCTTTTATTTTTTTAAAAATAACTTAAAAGTAACATAAGTTACTTTTAACTTATTGTTATTAAAACAGTTATATCTTTGAATACTCGATACAAACATTTAACTTGGTCTACAAACTCAAAAGATCTTGGTGTGACCATGGATTCTTACTCTAAATTACAGTAATCATATTTCGAATATCGTCCGCGCATCAAACATTCGAGGATATCTAATCTTTAAGTGTTTTAAAAGTCGTGATCCACATGTTATCGTTAAAGCCTACACTACTTATATAAGACCGATCTTAGAATATTGCTCTCCGGTTTGGTCGCCAAATCGCACTGAAGTGAACAATACAGTGGAAAGAGTACAAAGACTTTTACCAAGAGAATTTCTAACCTAAATAATGTTTCATATTCAAGCAGACTTAGTATTCTTGGTTTGGAATTACTAGAAATTCGTCGCCTTAAGCAAGACATGATTACATGTTACAAAATTCTGAACAATTTAGTTTACCTATATAAATCAAGTTTCTTTTTATTTAACAACTTTATTTACACTCGAGGACATAATTTCAAAATACGCAAACTAAAATGTTAACTCGATGTCCGTAAACACTTTTTCTCACTCAGGGTTGTTAATATTTGGAAGCACGCCAGCACGCAGTCTGACGTCGTGAATGCCAAAAATATAAAGAGCTTCAAAATTAAAATTAACTCGATCGACTTTGAAAAATACTGTTCCGGCTAACTGGATTTTATTTCATAACTAAGGTCTTATATATAATTGTAATATATATTTTAAATTATTTAGCATTTGTATTATGTGATTGTAGGGCACGTTGTCAGAGTCCTTCATATTTTATGGACCTGCGTGACCTTTAGAACATGTATCACTTTTCTAATAAATTTTAATCTAATCTAATCTAAATAGCTATTATGGCTTCAGTAATGTCTTAAGATAAATACTTTTTGTTGTTAGCACAGCGCAAAATGAAATATATATAAAAACGAAATGAGTTTGAAAATGAAAGTAATTTATTTATAAAATTTACCGCCTCAGTTTTTTAATTGTTTACGCATTCTGAATAGAATAAATTATTTTTTCAAGATGGCCGAATAAGTCCAAAAATGATACCAAATACCGAAAACAGTTTTTTAAATGGGGCAAAAAGTTATGATTATTTTTGCAAAAATGACTTTCGTAGAAAAATTAACACTACCATAGTTTATCTGAATCTAACGTGACATTATTGTTAAACATACTCATTTAGGTGTGGTATTGAAAATAATAACTTTAATTTTCATAAAAAAATGGTTTTTCATGGATAGTTTTCACAAATGTCTGAATATAAATGTCACGTTACATTCATTAAAAACAAACACGAGTACGTGCTTTTATGAAAAAATTCAAATTCAAAGACTTACCTATAGCCAAACCCCAAGGTACTTAATGTTGAAAATTATATCTTTTCTAACTAAAACTACGCTTGACGATCTGTTATAGTCGCATTACTTTTACCAGATTATAATAATGGTTAGAATAATCTTTCTATACATATCAAATATGTCATACTTTTCGATAAAAAAATTACATATTTTGTAATTGAAAAAACTTTGAGTATGTTAATCTTTAGAAGTAATTTTTATAATTGCCACTTTAAACAATTGAAGCTACTTTTTTTAATAACTTTAGTATTTTAAAAGAACTTTTTTAGAAGCTACTTTTTTAAATAACGTTAGTATTTTGAAAGAACTTTTTTAGAAGCTACTCTTGGAAGTAAGGTTATTTTCTTTATTTTGCATTTATTGGAAAGACACTTTTAATTAACTTGAAACAATAACAAAACATCTGAAAAATGATTGAATTTGATTCTGATTCAAGAAGCGTGCGATTAAATCGGATTGGGATTTGGGTACACCTAAAACTCTAAATAGTTATCGTCAAAAAAAAAAATTGTCATCGATCAAATATCAATCGCCCTCGATCTGCCTTTGAAAATTAAATAAAATCACATCGTAAGTCTGAAATAAGAGTTTGACACACGCTATTAAATTTGGAGACGTGCGAACTATTTTGCACGTTATCACTCAATATGAAGTGCGCCATGGTCGTACATTGAACTTGCATAAATTAATTTGTGTGGTCACTTGTCCGACAATAGTGAGACTAAAATTGCTCTAACCCTTAAAGATAGAGAAAAAAATACTGAACCTTGAATTATTTGAATTATAAAAACAATTTAGTGTTTAAACTTTCTAATGTTTAAAGTTTTTTTAATATTTAAAATTGAGAAATTAACTCCAATATAATAAATGCAGAAACTTTTCTCTAATATAATTCTTACGGAAAATTTTCCGATATAAAAATTGCGGGAAACTTTCTCCAATATAAAAATTGCATGAAATTAACTTTACTCCAATATAAAAATTTGATTTAGTAACAAAATTGTAATGTTAAAAAAAAAAAAAAAAAGAAAAAAATCACGAGTCATTAGCAAGCTGGTGAACTCTTGACCTTCTCATATTTGATCCTTCATCATTATCGTCACGCTCTCGATCACGATTTCTATTTAATGACTTAGTTGCACGTAGTAACTGATCAAGGGCCGCTAGTTCTCCACGACCCTCAAATAACAAAATGTTCAAGGTATCCTCGTAAATTCTAGCTTCAGGAAAATCTACCTTTGTTTGCTTTCGTTCTGTAGCATAAACTATTGAAGTACAACAAACTTCGGTAACTTTTTTACCGTTTCCATAGAATGACCAACAACATATTTCATCGTTGGCAATAATATCTTTTATAAAAAGTATTCTTCCGTTAAAGCGTAACGAGAGTTTGTCAAAAAGCTCTAAATTCTTTAGAATATTGTCATCAGATTGGCTAAAAATATAAATATAAAAAAGAGAACTTTAATTGCAAGAGTTCGATTGAGCAATGTCATTTTATTTACAACACATAATGCGTGAAGACAAATTTAGATTAAACCAAATGATTTTATCCCATAAATTAAGTTAATTTAAGTAAAAGAAGTTAGGAATAGAAAGATCAAAGAAAATTGAAATAAAAAAAAAAAAACTTAAGTCAAAATAAAGATGTGTAGTTGTGCCATGATGTTAATAAGTATGTTTACCTATTAATCTTTATATTGCAAAGTTTTTTTTTTTAATTTTGATTCGCTCCCAAACAAAGCTGCAAGCAACCAGTATTAAGTTGGGAGTTACTAGAAAAAAAGAATAGAGTTATGGAGCAAGAAAACAGTTGACAGAAGACTTAAGAAGTTATAGGTTGTATGAGTCAGGAAAATATGAAGATGGGAAAGAGTTCCAAAGGATTGAAGTGCAGGGAAAAAAACTAGACAAACAAAAGTTTTTAGAGCTTGCAGGGAGTGATACAGTTAACGAATGAGAATTTGCTGAATGACAAGTCAAGCAAGAATGTTTTATTTGATGGAACTAGAGATAATAGCTCCTTTAAATAGTAATTATGATAGTATTTGTAGAAAAGAGAAAGAGATGCAACTTTACAACAATGGGAAAGAGACTTAAGCTTAACAGATAGAGCGGGTCCAATGATTTAAGATGCTTTTTTGGATCTTGTCTAGAAAAGAAAGAGCATGATTAGAATAACCAACCCAAATATTTGACTACAATATTCCGTACAGGGAAAAATAAGAAATTTGTAGAGGTAGAGAATGGAATCAGGAGTAAGAAAATGGCGAACATGATAATAAAAAAATTGTATATTTGGTTTCCATGAAAGGTTAGTAGAAAACAATAATCTAAGAAGACGTAAACAAGAAGACTCTTCTTTATGTCTGTGAAGTGAGAGAGTTACCATTCATTAATATAGGAATGTCAACTGAATTGTGATACTGATATGAATAACTGAGTTTTGTTGGAGTTAAAATTTAAAATCTACTGCAAGGCCTAATCTGTTACAGAAGTGAGATCAGATTCAAGATCAGCTGCCTGTTCTAAACAGCTGATCTTGAATCTTAATCAAGAAGTTACTGAAAATGAATAAGAGTGCTGGCCTTTGAGGATGACTTTTAAAAAAATGGTTAAAAAGAAACAATTTGATAGCCTCAAAAACATTCCCAGATACACTAGCTCTAGAGACTTTTGGAAAATCTTCAACAGCATCATTAACAAAGGTTTAACGTTCTCTCATTTATGGGACCTTTCTAAAAGATAAGACAAAAAGATTTGCAAACAATTTTTCTTTTAATTAAAATCTTGAATCTTAGAGCCATTCTCTTTCTTTAATTCCAATTAAACAGGTTAACCCATTTTAGACCCTTGTTAATGACTCTGTTGAAAATCTTCCAAAAGTCTCTAAAGCCTAACTTCAGAGATAACATATGAGATTTAGTGAACTGAGAATAATGGAGCTTAGAATAAGAAACTTTTATTTCTTGCAATAATAAAGAGCTGCTCTCGAAAGAGTTGTTCTCTTAAAAAAGACAAAAAATGATTACAATTACATGTACCAACTGCACAAGAAAGTGAAAACCATGGAATAGAATGAGGCTTGACTTGGAACCGATGAAAAGGAATAAAAGCTTCCATTCCAGCCTGAATCCAGGAGGTTACGTAAGAGGCGCATTTATCAGCTGAGAGAAAAGACATTAGTCCAAGTACCATCATAAAGAAAAAAATGAAAAGAATCCCAGTCAGCTTTAGGGTAGTAATATGTAGTGCAATAATAGGGTGTCTGAAAAAGAAGTACAAGATAAAAACTTATTGAGATCATAGCTTGGTCAGAACCACCTAAGAGAGAAAAAGAAGAAACTGAACAAAAGCTAGGGTTAGAGACAAGACATAAATCAAGGAGTGAAGGTAAATAATTTGGTTTATCAGGAAAATGAACCATAAAGTTAACTATCTGAGTAAGAAATTAAGAAATGTAGAAGTTATAAGGCTTGAGTGAAAAAAAGAAAATGGTGAGAAAAAATTCAATAAAAACTCACCATACAAACATTTAAAGTAAAATTGACAACTTAAGATCTTAAGATCCTTATTTTAAAACTTTTGATCACTTATTTACTTAATTTAAAATTATAAACTTAAAATCCTTATTTTAAATAACTTTCACTTGATTATGTTGAAAATAATGTATGATCCTTATTTCAAAAATAGTTTATTATGTTTACATTTAAAATGATTAGTTATATGAAAATTTAAAGAGATTAAGTTTATTACTAAAAAAATATCAAATTTTTTCTCACAATATTCAATTCTGGAAATAGGTTAGCTAATTTTAGAATTTCAAAATACTAAATAAATATGAAATAACTAAAACTTATGTTCTCACCTTGTATAGGAATATTTATTATTGTATCGATTGCACACCAACTTAATGACAGGCTAAATTATATAATAATGAAAAACTAAATAAATATAGTAATGGCAAGTAAACTAGAAAATAATTACATAAAATTAACGGTAAAATTGTATTATCAAATAAAGAAAAATAATAAAGTTATAAAACATACAGTAGATTATAAACATACACTAGACATAACATAAAAATTAAGTTAGAACAAACAACAAATAAAAACACTATAAAATAACAAAAATAAAATAAAACTAATTCAACTAATAAGAATTAATTAGGTAAACGAATAAAGAATTGTGGGACACCATGCAACATTGCAATTGTGGCACCTACAAGAGTTGTGACAACCACTTTCATATAAAATAATTACTACTAGAGTTATGTTTTAACAAAAAAATTCATTTGATATAAACAGCTTGCAAGATCTTGAATTTTGTGGAGTTTTTACAAGTTTTAAGATATGTTATTGAATGTGTCTACAACCCTCGGAGTTAGGGACCCTAAGGTTGTAGACGCATTCAGCAATGTCGACCTAACTGCCAATCTGAAAGTGTTTGAGATTGGCAAAAATTGCCAACCTCGTTTCTATGTTTTATGGTTAGACCTTTGTATCAAATAGTTTTTGCCGACCTGATTGAAAAAAAAGAAGATCAAGTTTGGCAAATTATTGCCGACCTCATTTTTCCTAATTCCCAGGGTTGTGTCTATCAGTAAGTACCATTATTTTGTAAACTACAATCCATAAGCTCTTTACTCCGTTAAACAAAACTATTGAAAAAAATTTGATACTAAAAACAAAGTGATTGTTCTTTATTAGCAAGTATGGGAAACTTGATACAGCCCTTGTGGGAGCCCTAAAACTATAAAATACTACTCTGTATCATAAACAACATTGTAAATTGTTTCTCTTAATATTTACAGTCAATTTTTAAGAGATTTATGTAAATATAAAATGAGGAAATCCATCTTTGATACAAAGTCTATCAAGTGAAAATCTACTATTTCCAAAAATTTTATACTTTATATTTACTTTTTTTAATGGTACTCATAGGTTCTACCAAGGTATCTCATGAGAGATGTACCTTGATACGAATTTGTAATTTTATTTTAAATAGTCTCACAAATATAACCTGTTATATTTTGGTAATTAATGAATTTATAGGTTTAATCTAAAAATTCATTTAAAAGTTTAATCTAAAAATTGCATTAATTACCAAAAAAAAAGTGTGAAAAAAATAGTTATGAAGCAAAAAGCAAAAGCGTATCATGGTGCCCCACCCTCTCCTAATTAATAACTTTAAAAAAATAACTAATAGTTTTTCTACTAACTTTTTCTGCATTCATAATTAACATTCTCTCCTCTTTTGAAGAAGTTACAAGAGGCACGCGACACTGAGGTTCAACATCATCCCCCTTTTTCTTTAGTTCATCTTCTACCTAAAAAAAATAAAATATTTTTTTAAAATCATAAAAACTTTTGTTCTTTGTACTGAGCAAAAGTCTTAATTATTAAACAACCCTAAATTAAAACATCAAAACACAACAATTGTAGAAGAAATTGTCACGTTATAATCAGCATAATAGTTATAGAAACCATAAACAATCAATATAAATCAAATTAAGATTTATTAGTGAAAACCAATAAAAGCTTATAAAACTAAAAAGCATACATAAAAGTATTGATGAGATATAAAAGTATTATATACTTTAATAAGTAAAGTATTTCATGTTTTAATAAGAAAATATAAAACAAAATCTAACTTATGTATTTTTAAAATTATGTAAATGTTAAAAAATTGTTATTAAAAACTAACTGAACAAAACCTTAATGAAAAAACATTTAATAAAATTAATTTTTTTAATTAAAATACTTTTATATAACCAAAAAGTAAACTTTATTAATTTGTTTTTTTTGAAATATAGTCTATTTTTATTTGAATATCAAAATTATCTTAACAATTTAACTTTAACACAAATAAGTCATAAAGAAATCTTACACAATTAATAAGTTCTTGAAGGCAATAATACTTTGCTTCTGCCAAAAGCTCTTTTAACTCCATTTTATCTTCAGGCATAGGACACTGTCCGTCCCGAAGATAATTTAAGATTCTTCCAAAATGCTTTCCAGCTCGATCAATTAGAACCCAACCTTAATACAAAAAAGAAGTTTATTTACAAAAAGTCCTCATAAATTTTTTCATTTTTTACAATACCATGATTACAATTTAGTAAAAAATAGGCAAAATAAAGATGAGCTGAAAAAGGAAAAATAAAGATGAACTGAAGTGTAGACAGAGTTATTTGATATTAAAAAGCAAACTAATATATAAAAATGATGCAAGATATAAAGAAAACTATCAACAACCATTTCATTAACAAAAGCTTTTTCTGTATAATCTTGATTCTTATTACAAAATATTGGTCATGTACATACAACTTACAGACTTTAATTTAGCCCATCAGCATTTGTCATGGAAAAGAAATCAAAACTTAATTGGTCATGGTCCCAAAAATAAGGATGATAAATAATATTTATCATCCTTATTTGTCTAAAAGTAATGATGTCCAAATAATAAAGCATCTGTAGATACTTTGAAGAAGCCTTTGCTGACATCATTACGCAGTGGGTATAATAGAAAGATCAATTTATTGGTATTTTACCAAGTAGTAAATTGATTGGAACAACACTAAGCAAAGAAAAAATTATGAAAGTGCTGATTAAAAAAAAGTGTTTAAAAAAAGACATTCTGATTGCCAACTGTTGTTTTCTCCTATACGGACAACATTAATGTTAAAAAAAATGTCTTTTGCAACATGTTATTCTCATGTCAGCCTTTTTTAATTTGCAACATGTTATTCTCATGTCAGCCTAGTTTAAATTAAATATAGAAATTTTTGCTTCAAATACTTGCTTGAAACTTTGTCTGCACACGCAGACATATCAGAAAATATACTTATCAAAAAAATCAAAAATAATTTTCTTTTATAAAATCATTGTGCAGATCTACTATAACTTTATTCATTTTAAGGTAATTGACTTGAAGATCTTATAATAATAATTCAAACTGTTTTTTTTTTTAAAATCTGACATCAAACATCACCAACAAGCATCATTATACAACTTTAAAAAAATATGTGCAGGATAAGTTTAAAATTTACTAAATCAGTCATCAAAAATGTATGTCTATATATATATATATATATATATATATATATATATATATATATATATATATATATATATATATATATATATATATATATATATATATATATATATATCCCTCAGAATTAGGGTTGGCATTTGGCAATGTTGACCACTGCCAACCTAGTGCGTTATTGTATTAAGTGTTTGAGGTCAGAAAGAATTGCCAACCTCATTTCTATGTTTTATGGTTAGAACTTTATGTCAAAAATTTTTTACTAACCTGATATCGACTTCTCTAAATTATCTATCAGTTTAAGGTTTTTTCATATATATATATATATATATATATATATACATATATGCTCTAATATATATGTATATATATGAGCAGGGATGCAGAGTCCCAAAAAGGACTCCAGATTTGAAAGTCACAAAAAGATTACTTCTTTCTAGTTTTTGGTATTCTTTAAAAATATAAAAAAAGGTTATGAGCTACTAATGGGGAAAAAATAAAGACTTAAATATAAATAGGTCAGAAGAACAATCAATTTTTGAACCCAGAGTCCTTAGGTATGGTTAATGGCGGCAAGGACTCTGGGACTCCGAGTTAAAAAACAATAAGTTCCAAGTCATTAAGTATGATAATTTTTTCTTATAGCAGATCATTAATCAACCAACATGTTTAGAGCTTCTGGACACCAGAGACCATAAAAAAATAAAGTTATAAAGGCGGAGTCCTTTTGGGACTCTGCATCCCTGTTTTAGAGTACCTCTAAAAACAATTTTTTTTGAAGTTGTCTGCTACCCCTCCACCCCTAAATGTGTTCTATGTATTTTTTGAATTAAAAAAAAAATTTTAGGGGTCGCTCAAGACCCTTAAGCATCAAACGGGTCCATATTATTAAAAAAAAAAGTTCTTTAAAAGTATATCATGTTGGGTCTCAAATATAGTGAAACTTTATAAAAATATCAAAAATAATAAAAACAATTTATGGAAACACAAATTAAAAATATTTATTAAAAAAAAAACTTTAAAAATAAGTACTTTTTTTTTTTTTTTTTTTTAATAATAGTTTTTAAGCCAACTAGTAACCTTTATATAAAATTATTATTATTTTTGAAATTTTATAAAATTTCACTTCTTTTGAGACCCAACATGATATACTTTTAAAGAACTTTTTTTTTAATATTAGGGACCTGTTTGATGTTTAAGAGTCTTGAGCGTCCACTAAAATTTTTTTTTAATTCGAAATTTTTTTTAATTTAGTGTTAATTTACTACATAGAACACATTTAGGGCAGACAACTTCAAAAAATATTGTTTTTAAAGGCACTCTACTGTTAAGCAGCCTAAAATAGAGGCACTCTATTGTTAAGCAGCCTAAAATAATTCTATTTTTGCTCTCTTGTTTATAGAGTCGTTAAAAACATTTATTAATATTACTATAATTATTTTTTTAAATAATTTTTATGAACATTTTTAACTATTATTATAAATATACAAATAATCATTATAAATGATAATTATTATCATTTATTATTCTCATTTTTTCAATATTTATTTTTTACACCATTCTTTGTTTTTATAAAAACAAAAAATTGAATAACTTTAGGCTGCTTAACTGCAGGATTACCTATATATTTATATTTATTATAATAATCTACATTATTTATCTTTTACTTGTGTAGGTTTCGTCTATAAAATTTATAAACATACTAATAATATACTAGTATATAGAAAATATGTATAACCTTCAGTATCAGTTAACACTTCCATTCTACCACTAAACATTGCTCGCAACATACTATCAGCTCTTTTAGTTAATGTACCCAACGTTGTGTAGAAAAGTGAACCTCCAACATTTAACTTTACGTATTTAGTCAAAACAGGTTTATTACCTCCATCTTCAATGAGGGAAACAATACTTTTTTGAGTTTCTCCTGACATTACTTTAATATAAGAAGCAGTTGAATTATAAGTACTGTAGATAAATTAAATTAATATCTCTTTTAGTTTGATTCATTTCATCAAACTCTTCATAAAAGAATCAATATAAAACGTTTGTTATTCTAAAAAGTACGACGACATTTAAGGAATGAAAATATTTTTAGGTATTTTAAATTGTAATTCAAAAACAAGAAGCGTAAATGAAAATCCCGTGCACGGAAGAAAATTTTGCTTTTCTGTGCAAATAATTATGCACAGTTAAGCAGAAGTTTTATACATTTTCACAACCAATCGCAATTAATGCATCCTGCTCCGTTTTGACACTTGTTGGTTTTATAGTTTTCATAAATTTTAATGCTAGTTCAATAGAAAACTTTAATAAAAGCTAATTAAAGTTGTCTATTGCTTATTTAACTTTGGCACCAGCATAGCTTTCAGTTTACAGCTAAATCCGCACTTCTAAAGTTATTTATAATAAACAATAGTGTTGCACAGGCTAGCAATAGTGTTGTATTGTTTCGACACAATGCTTCTAAAACTAAATTCACTAACGCCAGATATGCCACAACATAAAATTTTGTTGAGCACTTTATTGTTTAACTCTTTTTTAGTGTCATAGTAAATCAGCGACCAGTGTTTGCAATTGTTTACATTCATGAACTTTTAATCAGTGTGTGCAAACTACTCCAGTAAATTTTAAAGTTGAGTATTAGTGGAAATGTTTTACCAAATTCGTAAGTGTACTTTTAAAGTGTTTTATAATTTTTTGTCGGCGAACTGCAAAACAATCTCACAACGGTTAACACCTGAGCGATTAACGGCTATGAACCATCAGCCAATAATGCTGTTATTCTCACTCATATTTTTATTTTTATTTTACTTAAGTGCCCCAAACAGTTCTTACGGTCTTACCACAGAGCACCGTGGATGAGCATTTAATTGGAAGTACGCGCCTCCTTTCAAACCGATGTCGCAAAACTTGCCCAGGGTTTAAACCTTGGATCCTTTGTTTCTAAGGCAAGTGCGCTACCACTACGTTACAGCTGCTCTAATTAAATTTATTTAAAAAAAATAAAATCATTAAATTAAATTCATTAAAAGTTGAAACCTGCTTGAAGTGTGTTTTTCCCCATAATTGTTTTTTTTTTTGCGTTATAGTAAGTGCTCGTAACTTTGTTAGCGTTACTCTCGCTGCTATCACCATCGTTGCAGATCCCTTATTGACTCCTTGCACACCTAATTCAATGCCATGCACAATGCAAAACGTTTGATTGCTATTGCTTAAGAGACCCCATCAGTAGCCATGAACCAACAATTCTAGCTAATCCAAGTCTCAAAGATTTTTGTAATCAGAGATGAACAAACTTGATTTTGACCGCTTCTCTGATTGTGTTAGCATATTTGAATACTTGATTTTTAATTATCCTGGCCAAAAAAACAAACCAAAGAACTTCTTGTGATGTTCTTAATCAGCTAATTTGACAAACTCGCTTAGGGCAGTTCATCAAGAGGTTCAATTTAAGCAGCTGTTGTGTAGTAGCTAGAGATCTGGTTTCAGAACTGAATGTCCATGATAAGGAAGGAGGCGTAAACTTCCAGGTAAAATGGGTAACCATACCTGAAAGACTTTTTGGAACACCTAAATATCTAAAAAAAAATATAAAAAAGACTGCAATCAGCAGATTGTCAAGTTCTTGAAGAAATCAGTTCGGAATTTTTTGACCAATGGCAATTGAACAATCAATAATTCAGCTATTAGAGGTTTGAATCAGCTATCAAAGTTTGGGATTTTTTCGTCGATAGCAATTGAGCCAAAATACGATGACAATGTTGCATCTTGGGGCAATTTTCTATTTAGCATGCCGATTTCATGGTTCATTCTTAGGCGTGCAGAATATACTACCACCATGGCAATATTAGTTACACTGATTTTATCTTTTTGTCACATTTCTAACATTTAGCAACTAGACTTTTTTTATCAGGCAGAAAACAAACGCACACAGAATTTTTGGTGACTCGTACTCCGGTGCTGAACTCTTTCAATACTTTTTGTGACATAACAGATGTTTCTGAATATTAAAGTAATATAAATCTATACATTTGACATAAAATATTGGTCATTAATTCTCAATTCAAATGCATAAAGTCTTTTTTAATTAAAAGTGAATATACCTATAAAACATTTTGTGACGTATCATTAGCATGCCTTATAATCAAGCGCTTGATTATCAGGCATACTAATGAAACGTCACAAAATGTTTTATAGGTATATTCACTTTTAAAACAAAAAAAAAATTCCATAATTAGTACGGTTTGAGCCGTACTAATTATGAGATTATTTTTTATTGATTTATATGAATAAATGTCGTTTAAACTTTAATAGTTGAATATTCTAATACTGGTCTTCTTAGAAGCTCTCCATAATTCAATTTATAATCATAATATAAGAATCTACTCAGAGTTTTAAACATGATGTGGTAAACAGACTATAAACATTGATCAGCAAACACTTTTAATGGCATCATTATTTTGTTTAAGAAAATAACGAGTAGCATAAGACTTTTCCCTCCAAATAAAAATTAAAAACAAAATAGATACACGTTTTTTTATAAGCATATGAAACTGTTGAAACAGGCTCGGGTATGCTTATGCAAAAAGCTCTAAGATGCTCAAAAATATGCTTAAGCATATTTCTAATAAGACATGCTTATATCAAGACTTTTTGAAAAATTAACAACGCACACATTTTCAAAAAAGTTTCAAATATTTTTCAAAAAAAACTATGTTGTAATATAACAATCAAAAATAACACGTATAAACATTAAAATACTATATACAAATGTTATCAATAAAATCAAAGATACAAACTTCGTTTTCGTTTTCCCTGGAATCAATAAATGTGTCATCTCAACAAATTTCATTAATATCTTCATTTATAGCATCAACCGGTTCAAAATTTCACTTCAACCGGTTCAAAATCAATACAATTTTCTTTGGGTTGATAGTTCACCGGATCAATTATGAATGGCGGGGGCACATTGTAACTATCAAGATCCTCTAGTTTGATAAGTGAGTCATCCGAGCCATCAGAAGTAATTAATCTCCCAGTTATCGTCCAACATTTTCTTCTTTGCTTATCATACTTAGAAGAGCCTAAAGTTTTCCACGCTTCCACTTCCCAATGTATAATCAAAATTTGTCTCTCTTTTGCAACGTAGGGCATTTTATTACTGAGCCATCTATCTGTATGATTATCTGCATCCAACCATTTTTGATGTTCTATGGCAATAAGCCTTTCCAGAGTGGCAGCGTATTCTGCGTATCATCTGGTTGCCAAAGAGCAGTGGCACTTGGTAAACCGTACCAAAGGAGTCCTTTAGCATCAGCATCTTTTAAATATTGTCCTTTAAATTAAGCAAAAGAACAAATATTATCAAGTTTTTGTTCTTTAATAAACGGAAGGAGTGTTTTATCACACCAGCACTTACAAACGTTTTGGTCTTACCAAGCATTTGTTTGAAAGTAAACATGAATATCTTTGTGCCATGCTAACTTTTCGTCTTTTGAAATGCGTTTTCCTTGACCTTTAAAAATGTTAGCTAGCTTTGGTTGCTCTCATTTTATTTAAAACATAATTTAAAAGGAACTTTTTCTTTTTTTTCTAATCCCGAGCCCGGTTGTGAGATGTCCAAGTGTCACCAAGTGTTGCACCTTAACTCTTATGAACATACGTTTTTTTACCATGGATAACTACGGGGAGTGGGCTCTGGTCAACATTGCGCCTTTGTGCTGGTTGGTAGCGTCCCCATTTGACGTCATACACTTTCTCTGTACGTTGCATCCCATTTCAGTATTGATGATTCCATTCCTTTCTTATGTTTCCTTTTGTTCCTTTGTTTCGATTTCATTTTTAACTCTAATTTTTGTAAAAATTGAACTGTTACATGATGTTTTATTTCCACTTTTAAATCAATGTCTAACTGTATTTCTTAAGCTTTGAAAAAAAACTCCTCGTAAGTAACTTTGTATAGTTTAAGATATTTTGTGGAAAGTCTTCCCTTCATAAACAATTTCCAATAGGAGGATGCGGAATCTTTAAGGATAGATTTTTTTTAAGCTATGTAAAAATCTGACTTTGTGTTACACCAAACGTTATAGTTTGTTGATTCGCCTTATTATAATAGGCGTTAATTGCATCAGTTTCAAAGGCAGTATATTAACGGCGTTTCTCATTAGCTACTTTGGAAGACCCATAAAATGCTTTTTTAATGCTTTTTTTGATATTGATATTTCTGTAAAAAGTTTGAAAAAAAAATCAATCCGAACTTATTACTAGTTCAAATTGTTTGATATTAATAATAAAATATTAACAATGAAATGCTTTTATAGCTCAAATATTTACCATACCTATTTTCCAGAAAGGAAACCTTTTTTCATGCTACCCCTGCCACCCCAATCAAAAGATAAGGTTACAGTTGCTCCTTTTAGCTATTCTTTTCTGGCTAGTCTGAATTTGTGATGTCAATTTCCTGAATGCGGCTTTTGGGGCTCAAAAGTTAAAAAGTTGTAATTATGTTTTCATTTTACCAAAGCATTGTCGTTTACCATCACCAAAGGTCTAGCGGATATGGAATGACGAAAGTAAGAGGAATGTGATGGCAAATGACTTTAAGGCAGTCCTAAGGTTGGCGACACCAGGGATTGCCAGTTTGAACTTCTGCTACGATGCTTTAAAATAACTATTAATCCGTATATAATTTTTATTGAACATGAATATATCAATTTAAACTTTCAATAATGTTTACACTTCAGCAGTATTTATATTCTTATGCGCATTTCTATTACAAGCTGCATAGAATTGGGTGATCAGAATCAGCTGAAAAAAAAGTCTTTTTTGATTTGGTTTTAACTGGTTTATCGTGATCCTTTTTTGACTTCTGTTTAACACTGACCACATTTTTTATTGCAGCCTTTTTAGCAGGAGGCTCTTTTATTAACTTAACATTACCTGGTGATGTAATAAGAGCAATGTGGCGTTTTGAATGAGTAGGTTTCCTTTTTTTTTCAGGAGAAGGTATAATAGTCCTTAAAATAGATAAATTTTGGTCTCCCTGGTGAATTGTTGCTTTATTAAAAACCTCTGCTTTTTTATATTCGAAATCTTTTACTGGGTTTCTTAGGGGATGCAAACCACAATGGT